CGCTCCACAAAGGGCTCCAGTGCCCCTTTCCCCCTTCCCCGGGACGGGTGGGTTTGCGCAGCTTTTTGCCCGTGGCTCAGACAATCCCCGCAGCCCACCCCCGGGGCTCCCCTGTGCCACCCCCTGATGCACTTTCGGGGCAGGTAGAAGGGGAAAAAAAGGAAAAGAAGAAAAAAATGCAGCGGCGGTGCATTTTGAGGTGTGAGGGGGGGTCGTGTGAACTCCCGCAGGCTCCGCATTTACATCCGCGGCTCCTCTCTCTGCCTTGCAGCGGGTTGAAATTAGACCGAAAGTTGCTGTAAAGACTTGCAAATGGACCGCATGGCAGAGGGGGAGGCTGGGGATGGCTGAAACACGCTTCGGTTCGAGGGGGATTAGGCTGGCTCCCAAGGGCGAACTTTAATTAAAGGTACCACAGGGCACAGAGTACAGGAATTCTTAGCATCCTCAGTTCTGGTCTAAAAGCTGCCCCTGTTTAACTTTATCCCCAGGCTTTTTCAGCAACCACCTTCCCTCTGGCAGTACTACTACATCCATTTTTTTTTTTAAAGGACCAGAAGCTGTCGTGTTAAGAATCAGATTTTTGGGTTGGTGGTTGGTTTTTTTTGAAAGTGAGTATTAGACAGCATTTTTTACAGCATTACATAACATCTGAAAGGGCAGAATAAATACATATGTAACTACTAGCTCCAGTTCATCTATTTCATGTACTACCTATATAAATATATATATCTTCTATTGATTTCTGCATAGGTCAGCACGTAGTTGCAGTTTCAGACAACACTCAGTGCAAGAGACTTTATGCATCAGTGGGAGTTTTGCCATTAACTTGATAGACACCCTGACAGGTAAAACCCAGTGGTCTGTAAAAAAACATTGTGCCAAATGGCCAGAAACTAGCTCAAAATACCAAAAATGAAAAATTTTGGCTGACTGGGTTCTGAGCTTCTCATTGTGGCACTTAAAGTTGATGGGGGACTATGTACAAGTCAGACAGCAAAAATCATGCCCGTCCTTTGCTCCTGAGGAATGCAAGAGCATTAGACAGTTCTCAAGTGAAATAGGTTGACGTAAGCATGGTGGATTTGGCATTTGTTTCTCAGATATCACTTTCATAACATAATACACCCAAGTTTTGGCCTAATTTCTGCAAAAAGTGGGCACTCTGCGGGTACAATTAATTGTCACGCATTTTTCTTTCAAACTCACGTTGGTAGCAAAATAACTCCCTCTCCCCTACCCACCACCAGTTTCTATGAACAGTTCTTCAAATTAACTCTAACCAATACTCATTTTAGCTGAAATCCAGCACTGCCTGGTAAATGCTGGCGATGTGGGATGTGGAGTGTTTGAATGCTTTGAAAACAATTCTTGCGAGATCCGAGGCTTACACGAGATCTGCATGACATTCCTGCACAACGCTGGAAAATTCGATGCCCAGGTAACATGGTGAAATGTCCTACATATCCGCTTGCTTCTAACATACACTTGGCCCGTATTTTATTTCCTTAACACATCTTTGAAAAAAAAAAATTACCATGACAAAGCAAGTCTGCTTCTGCCATGATTTATTAACTCAGTAAGAATTTTTCTGTTGAAAGGTCCAGAATCGAGACCTCAGGACAGTAACAAAGCAGTGGTGTGCAACCTGTTCCAGGAGACAGGCTGTCTCTAGCTACAGCTCCCTGGATCCCTTCCACCTACTGTACCCAGGATAACTGCAGCAGAACACTAATGTAGCCAAACATGGTTTTAAGAAACACTGGGCAACTCAAGCTTCTGCACCATGTTTGTTCAAAGCTGACCCTGAAATGCAGCGTGGGCTCTCAGTTCATTTAGACTTATCACAATATTTCCCAACATGCAGTTATTAAAGTTGGTTCTCAAGACTTGCATACAACCAGTCCAGGCAACCTCCTAAAGCTGCTGTACTCAAATAAGCCTTTGGTTCGAGCACTGACGTTGAAATACGTTACTTAGATGGTATGTGGTATTAAGTTTGTCTCCTTCATTTTCTCCCCAGACCATTTATGCATCATTGAGACATCCTGTTATTATGTCTTGTAAACCTACTCTCCCATTTCAGTGTGGAGGGAAGGGAACATTCCTACGGGCCAGCGGCATTTGGCTTGACCAGGCAGTTTACAGTATAACTTGACTAAAAGCACCAGCTACATGGCACTGTTAAAAGCATGGTACAAAGTAGAGCTGTCTTCAGTATCCAGCCCATTCCATGAGGGATGGTAGGACCACCCAGTAGGAAGCACTTTTGAAGTGCTGGAGTTTTAGGCTCAAATGCTCAAGGATGTACCAAGGGTCTGGCTAGTCATTAAAGTGGGAATTGCTGCTTTTATAGGTGTCTGAAAACTTTCAACTCTAATTTCCAAGTGGCTTCCAGAAAACACTCATTTCTTTTTGCACAATATTCTGTCAGTGAACAGAGTTGAGCAAAGAAGTAAGTCCTGTTGGGAGGGGAGGGAAAGGGGCCTAGAAAAGCTGAGTGTAACCACTGATGCCTGATCCCCAGATATTGCTCATCAAATACAGCCTGTTTCACATCCAGGCTGTCTCTATTGCAGTGCAGAAGGTTTAAACCCCTGGAGCTTTATTTAATATGGAGGTGGCTTTAGCCTCTGCTATGACATGACTTTTCACAGCTCCTCTCTCTATTATCTACAGTTATTTCAGGCTGCATTAAATGACAAGACTAATGCTGTCCATTTTCTGTTCTCTGCTCTGAAACCTGAGAATTGATGTCAGGTTTGGTTTATGTAAGAATTCTCTTTTTCATCCTTATTTGCCTACTGTGCTCTGCATGTTTGTTACTGAAGGGAAGGGCAAGTAAGTGCCTTTGGTATGGGGAATAGAAAGGGATGATGACTGAAGCAACTCTTTGATCAGCAAGAAATATTTCTGGCTTGAAACGATTTGGGGACGACATCTGCTTGCAGGTCTGGGTGAACCTGACTTAGTGACAGTGGAGCTGTGCCAGTGTACTCTTGGGATAAAGGGGAACAAGGATTTGGTCTTCATGAGGCACCTGTGTAAAATCTGAAGCTGATGAAGAGGTGGAGGCAGCGCAAGAGACGATTGCTCAGCAAAGTAAAGGGAGTCTGAGCAGAGCAGTCGCATGAATGGCAGCTGCAGTGTCAGATGGCAAAAAGGAGGGGATGGGTTTGGTGTCCACTAAGCAAGTGAATGCAGGAATCACAAATAGTGGTTAAAGAGAAGCTGCTAAAGCAGCTTTTCTTCACCTTACTTTTTTAGTTTCTTGATTTAATCTCACTTAAAATTTCTTGCAGCAGACATAAAGACACTGGAGGATTATTAGTAGTGCTGAGTTGAGCCCTCTCTGAGAGAGTGGTAGTAGAGAAAGTATTGACAGCTGGAGAATGGGGCAGGTGCTTATAAATCATGCATACATGTCTGTGAGTTTGTGAACTAATTTTAAAATAAAGAAAACCTAATTTGCAGTTACTGAATGGGTATCTGTTTGTGGTCCTGAGGACCTCAGCCATGGCAGGATGCCCTCTCTTTTGTTTGAACCTGCTGTTCTGCCATCCTGGAAGCAAATTAATCCAGTAACTCCAGCACTGAACTACTTTAAGGTGCTTACTTTTGATCTTTCCCTCATTGGGCATTCAGCTGTTGGGTGAGAGGAAACCTCAAAGCACCAGTGAGGAAGCCCTGGATGTCTCAGATCCACTGGGATAGCAAAGCTGGGTGACTTGGCATGGTCTTTAAGGGCAGAGAAACAAGGAGAAGAGAGTGAAAAGCCATTAAGTGATACCCTTAGCACTGTAATAACCCTTGACATTGTCCTGCAGAGGAGCAGCTGGCTGGGCATAAATCACCTGCCGTACTTAATGGACAAAAATACAGACCTACTCCATTTCTTTTCTTCTCAGGGAAAATCCTTCATTAAAGACGCTCTGAAGTGTAAGGCTCATGCCTTGAGGCATAAATTCAGCTGCATCAGCCGTAAGTGCCCTGCCATTAAAGAGATGGTGTTCCAGTTACAGCGGGAGTGCTACCTGAAGCATGACCTCTGCTCTGCTGCCAAGGAGAACGTCCAGGTCATTGTGGAGATGATTCACTTCAAAGACCTGCTGCAGCATGAGTAAGTGCCTCTGTGCTGGTGCAGTCAGAGCGTGGGAGCTCCTTCCAGGAGCGCGATGGTGCCAATGGGCTGTTTCACCTCCTTCTGGCCTTAAGCACCTCTCGTTTTCCCATGTACAAGGCCGAGGTAATGCTTTCTTTGCAGGGGCCCTTGAAGAATAGGCTGTGTACAAAGGGCTAGATGTGACTGTGGAAGGAGATGAAGTGGGTTGAAGTTGGATCTGCCTGTCCCCTTGGTCCTTTGGCAAATGCACTGTCAGTGTCTGTCATTTCCAGAAGCATCTCACAATGTCTCTTTGCTTTCTGAGCTCAAAGGCATCTTTCTTGACCCCAGTATCCTGTTAAGGATGACAGCTAGAGAAGGGGGAAGAAGGTTTATGCAAAGTTGTCAGCGAGATGATAATTTCTTCTTTAAATACATACTTTCAAATGTCTTGTAGTTAATTGTCCCTGAAAGAGCTGCAGTCCCCCAGGTAATCTCCCATTCATCTTATTCTTTATTAATCTCAGATGGTTTTTAATAAAACATGGAGATGTACAAAATGAAGGCAGAAGTCAGATTTTGAGGACTTCATTCCTCTGACTGGGAACACAGCTGTCCTCCAAGGAATGGCAGGCACGAATCCTATTTGGAATTGATCAAAGCTCCTACATGACAGCAACAAACCAGGCACAAGCTGTTTGTACTGACTCTTTGTGCACAAATGCAAAAATCAGAGCCAGTTTTTCTTGCAGGTGAACGTCTCACTCCCAGGCAAGAAGGCTGAGCCACAGCCTGGCATCAGGCTTAATCTTAGAGCATCTTCCTACCACACCTCTGTGCCTTGATATTAACACAGAAACTCCAAATCCCAGCAGTCATGACAGCCAATTTTTATTTTTTTTTTTGCAGAATCATTTCTTTTGGAATTTTAGCCTTGCATTTTCATCAGTATCCAAAGGAGCTGCGCTCTGATTCCCTTACTTTCTGTTGAAAACCACCCCCCTAATACTTAGCTGCAGTTGCAGAGAGATGCTTCAGTGCCAGTTTACTCACAGAAATCATGTGCTGTGGTTTGTACAAGCTGAACATGGTGGCCTGAAAGCAAGGCCCTTTCCATGGACATTCCTGAGGCTGGGATCAAAGGCATGGCTGGTGGCAGAATCTGGCCTTACCAGGGCTGCTGTGCCCAGGGCGATGGGCAGCATCCCACTGGCTGGTGGAGAGGGGAAGCAGGTCTCCATCCTGCACAGCAGCACCTCTCTGGGCACTGCCTGGGCTGTGTTAGCAGGCTGTAAATTGGGTACTTGGCACCAATTAACCCCCCCATCATTTGGGGATGAAAAGAGCTATGAGAGCCAAAAGCCTGTCCAAAGAGGAGTAAGTTATCCTTATTTTATGAACAGGCTAAAGCAGGAATGTGCGAAGGCAGCTGCTTATTTCTGGGGAGCTTAACTGGGGGGTTGTTGGTTGAGAAGAGACGGGTCATTCAGTGAACACCTATAATTTGCATGATCTCATTTAGCGCATCCTACACTTCAGCATCTCACGGAGTCGGAGCTCAGCTCTCCTATGCGGGACTCCCCAAATAGAACCAGCCAGCCTCCTCCCCTCCCCTAAATTTAGAGGCCATCTCTGAAGCTCTTGAACTAAGGAACTTGTTCAAGATCAATAGGCAAGTGTGGCAGAGCTGGAAATAAAATCACGTCTGCTGACTTGCAGCCTTGTGCTCAGTTCAGGTACTCTGGTCAGGCCAGCTGAACTGCAGAAAGTAAAACAGGGAAGGAGAAATGGGCCAGTATTAATCCGCAGGGCTCTGGCAGGCTCTGAATACCTGAAATATTTGGCAGCTGAGCCGCTTTTTAGTCATACCAGCGACCTTTTTTCCTACAAAGATTTTTGTAAAGGTTATGCCCAATTTGAAGAACCAATTTTTTTTTTATTTCCTTCTGCTGGATTGCTTTGTATGCAACATGCTCAGTTCTCTCTTCTATTTTACATTTAAAACAAAAACCAGGAGCAGAGAAGCAAGTGGCAGCTTTCAGACTTTTCCTCTGACTATTTTGTTCTGACTGTTCTCTCCTGATGAGTGTTGTGGAACACAACCAGGGCAGTGAAGCCTCCTCCTGAGTCAGCTGTGGTGGGGTGGGGGTCAGGCTGATTTGCTATGGTGGAAGTGGTGACAGGCCTTGGCAGATTGGTCGCTGCTGCATTCCAAGTAACTTTTTTTTTAAACAGCAGAAACAATCCAACCATGGGAAATATTTTGAGATAGGGGAATAGGTGGCTCTCTAAGATTAGTGATTCAAAATGAGTTTAAGTAGTTGGGTAGTGTCAGACACTGATCATAATTGGTTAGTTTTCCTTGTTTCTTCTGACTTAGTTTGTGAGAAGAAATTTAGACTTGTCCACAGCCACCAGAGCTGGTGGATGGTGTGCCCAGAAGTTGCACCCCCACCACCCCACACAGCCACGAGTGCTGACCCTGGGCAGTTTTCCACTTGTGCTGGGGATGGTTCCTACTGTGGAAGATTTTTAAGCACGTCCTTCTGGGCCTGCAAGCAGCTGAGCGGTTGTGTCAATAGACAACATCAATATTGACCCACAAAACTTGTGACCACAACTATTTTAAAATCGCTGCACTCGGTGACCCGTGGCTGAGGAAGCCGAAGTGCCTGTGTGTGGGGACTCACAGGGATGAGGGTAGAAAGCACAAAGGGTGTTCAGCCATGGCTTGTTTGGCTGGGGAAAGGTATATACTGAAAGCTGTAAGGAAATGAAGAAAAAGAACCTTGGTGTGGGAAGAAAAAGTACCTGCAAAGTGGATTTCTGTGTGTCTGAGCTCTGTGCAGTCAGATCCCAAGTTCAGATAGGATCTCGCCTGTGGTGGAGATCAATACCCAGTGCTTCAGAGATGAGAAAAGCCAAATAACCTCTTTTTTGCTTTCATAGAGGTGTGGCAGTGCCTCCCACTTGCAGACTGGTGATTGGTGAATGCTCTGTACCTGCCAGTCACCTGGAGGTAGCAACTGCTTGATGAAGCTGATGGCTCTGGACATGAGCAAGTTTCCTTTGTGGTGTGTCCTGACTACTAAAGATGAAATATTGTGGAAAGAGAGAGAGGCAGAAAGTATGAGATAGCAGTTCTTCCATTTGCCAAGCAGGGAGACCTCATCTGTTCCTCTGGTGGACATTCAAGTTCTCCACTGGGAGAGTAATCAAGGCAGATCCAGTAAAGCTTTGACGGGATGCCACAGTGTCCTACAGCAAAATGGCCAATCAGAATATAGTATATTGCATAAAAAATATGCTGCAGAATTGCTCTCCAAGGCTGCCGACTCAGTGGGTGGCAGGGGCTCACACCACTGACCTGTGCTGTGCCCAGGGGACCGTGAGGCAGATTCCCTTGTGTTTTTTAACTCTCCTCTCCCTGTTTCCTTTTCCTCTAGGCCATATGTTGACCTAGTGAATATCCTGCTCACCTGTGGCGAGGAGGTGAAAAAGGCAATAACAAGAAGCGTCCAGGCCCAGTGTGAACAGAACTGGGGAAGTCTCTGCTCCATTCTGAGCTTCTGCACCTCGGCTGTGCACGGTGACGCCGCCCTGGGCGCCGAGAAGAAGCCGGGTGAAGCCACCAAAGGCGGTGCTGGCCGTGGGGACATGCTGGCCCACTCCGACCCCGACCACAGGGAGAGCTCGAGAGCATCCAAGGGAGAGAGAGGTACCAAGGGCCACTTGAACGCCCACGCCCGGGTGAAAGCTGGGGGCCACAGTCCCAAAGGGGCACAAGGGATCGTGGACCGGGCAGACGAACTGTCCGACTTCTCCGACATCCGGAGGTGAAAAAAGGCACCAGCTCCCCCTTCCCCCCCATCCTCCCCCTCCACCGGAATCCTCCTGAGTTCCATCTTCCCGTCTATGGACATTCCAAAGCATTTCCCATTCAGAGGTCAAGCACAGGGCATTGCAAGATATATATGGACCTCGGCAACAGTGTATATAGTAGCAAAGGGAGAGCAGTGGCAATGGGTTATCGATCCAGCAAACTCGACACTCGAGCAGCCACCAAACGTGGCAAAATGTCTCCAACTAAATTCTTTTCCCCTTTTTTATGAAACAGACATAATCTGAAATTTAGGATCTTGTTTGGGGATTGTTGGGTTGGTTTTGGGGTTTGTTTTGTTTTTTTCCCTTGGTCTCCTTGGCTGGGGAGACTGTTCCAAGAGGGCTCTGCCAGACTGCATGTGGCTGCTTGTGGCTTAGCACCTCCAAAGGTCTAGGGCACAGCCTTACAGCAGATGGCTGAATTCCAAAGGGATTTGGTTTCTGCTTGTGGCTGAGAACACAAGAGCTCCAGGCTCTCTATGTGAAGCTCTCTAATGAAGTAGCTGCCCCGTCTCTCGCACAGGAACCGTGCGGTCTGGAGCTCCACCACTTTCTCTTAACTAACTTCTGAGCCATTGTTCCCACCTGGGTGACGCTGCCTGGTTTAAGTGCCCCCCTGTTTGTTTTGAACCACTGCATAACTTGACACTTGCTAATCACAGTATCATACCCAGTCCCTTCAGCGTATCACAGGCGAGTAGTCAGCTTCCAGACAAGGCAATGTGACTGTTAAAGACTTGCACAGTGCGGAGGACCCCCAAAAGTATTCTTGTGGACCTCTAAGAACCCTGTGCATATTCTCTGCTTACATCTGCCCCTTCAGTGATACAGGTCTTCCACCCTTATAGACAGCCCAAGCCTAAAGGGATGGGTGTGGGCTCAGACAGCAAAGGACCCCATATGTTTAGTTTTTCTGTAGGGCTGTGTTGAAGGCCCATCAGAAATCTGTCTCTCCTTAGCAGTAGCGTGGTATGGTTTGCTGAGATGTGGAGCCCCACTCTAACCTACCTATAGCTATGGTTTATCCAAATGCCAAAGATAAGGAGAGGGGATTGACTCGGGTTTTTTAATTGTTGTGCAGATAATGACCACCAGTCTCCACAGAGTGAGTTAGTAAAGATGAAGAGTGTCAAGAGCTTATTGTCTTTAAGCAGTTTCAAGTGTGAATGAGGTGTTTGGCCATATCTCTCCTACCCCCTATGCAATTGTAATTCTCAGGTTGCAGCTCTGCAATCCTATATCCCCAGATATTGTACTGGAAATGGAGGTTACGGCATCCACGAGGACAGAAAGGTGAGCTCTCAGCTTCCTCGAGAGAAAAAGTGAGTTTTCTTAGAAAGTGGGAATCACACCAGGGATTTGAGCCTTCTCATTTAGAAAGTTTGGGAGGAAAGCTGTGGGGGCAGGAAGGCAGTTCAGCAGGGACAGAACGTACCCAGTGAACTAACGTACGTCTTGTCGCATAGTGGGAAGGAGCTGCATAAGCAGTAGAGGGTGTTGGAATTTGGCTACAATTTCCAACTCAGATTTCAGTTACTGCTGAGTGAACACGGCTCCTAATAGCTGTATTCAGGGTTTAATGCATGGATCCACCCGCGGAAGGTAGAGGCACTGCTTTTAATAGCAACCACGTAGGAAGCAGGAGAGGACAGTTAAGTTGAAAAGGTGTGTTTCTGTGATCACCAGGTCTCTGCTCTAAAGACATGACCCTGATCCTGCCTGATTTTAGCAAAGTTCTCTGATAACATTTTTGTTTGACTCAAGTGGGAAGAGGTGGGATCAGGCCAGATGCTATAGCAACAAAGACCATGGTGATGTGCCAGTGGGTGTGGCAGCTGCGCCACTGGGCTGGCGACAGCTCTGCCATCCCTGGGGCACCCAGGCTGTCCCGTGGAGCAGCTTGGGAAGGTTGGTTTGGGTCTGAGTGTTGGCCACCTCCTCTGCTCCAAAAGCTGGCTGTTGGTGGTACCATGAGAAGGTTTCTAGCATGTGCCTCCATGGGTTTCCTGCAAGCGTCCTCCCCCCCGGTGGCACAGAGCCACCACGAAGAACAAGCTCAAACCAAAAAGACAATCCAAGCATTTTAGCAAAAAAAAAAAAAAAAAAAAAAAAGAAAAGGAAAACAAATGCAAACCAGAAACAACTTGCTACCAGTGCAATGTTCTTGCATTGAACTAAAATAAGATCCCTCTGTCATTAGAGGTCTGATTCATCAATGGGAACCAAACATAGAGATCTACATCCTTGAATGTCTCAGTCAACATATCACCTCAGCATGCATACAGTTTTATTTGTATTCATTGGTTCTGTGGGGAAAACTGTATATTCCCCTTGTTTAGTCAATGAAAATTGGGGGGGGGGAGGACAAGCTGTGGGTGGGAGGGATTTTTGTATAAGGCATCATTTTTTTTCCTCTGTGTGTGAAGATTTTATGTGTTCATCTACTGATTCCACATATGCTATTATTGTAAATATTTAACATTTCTATTTATTATAGTGTCCCCATTTAAAAAAAAACACTGCTGGCTATGATAATTTAAACGTATGTCATGACCTGTGTTGTATATATTCATGCCACTAGTATGGGTTTTTTTATGTTTAAAGCTGCGTAAATATAGTTTTATACAGTTCCATAATGTTATTGACAGCATAAATCATTTATTTATTGTTAAACCTTCTTTCATATCTAACAGATAGGGTGCGTCTTACCTGAGATTATTTTATTGTGACATCTACATAGCCTTAATTCTTTATAAAAAAGAAAAAAAAAAGTCCATTTAGATACTGTATGATGCTTTAATTAACATTCCTTATGAACTTGCTGTTCATAGAGGAGGTTTAGCTTAAAAGCCAAGGTATGAATGTTTCCTTTATGCTTTGCATCTGGAATGAGCCTTGTTCTGGAATGAAAATACTGCAAGAAGCAAAACGCCTACTGGAAAAAGATAGCAGTAAACCCTGGAAAATGCTGTCCTAACTTACAGTGCTGAACTAAAAGGAGAAAAAAAATAAAATAAAAAAAATACAAACTGTCCTTAATTCCAAATCTCTGGGAGAAAAACATACTAGTTTTATCTCATGTAGAATTTGCAGCCAAATAAGCTTGTAAATAAAGAAAATGCATATGGCTTTAGAGAAAGCTCTGTACCTTTCACACTATTATTTTCCTTAAACACTAATAAATGTTTTGAATAAGTCTGTGGCTGGGTTTTGCTTAGCTGGAATTTCAGCTGCTGTGATAAGGTGGTAAGAAAAGCCCTCTGAAGCTGAGCCAGGAGCTTCAGCCAAGAGGGGCAGAGGTAATTTGTCTACTCGTCCCCCCACAGCCCGTCCCCTGTGCCAGCCAGGCAGGACATGGGGACAGAGCCAACCCTTCCTCTGTATAGCAGGGAGAGCCAGGAGAGAGACTTTGTCCCCGGCCTGTCATTCCCCTAGGAGAGGGAGACCTCGCTCGCTGCTTATCTGGGACCTGGAAGCTTGGCTTGAGGGCAGAAAGGGAGATGTGGAATAAATTATAGGATGAAAAACACAGGGAGCAGAAGCTCATGCCCTTCTCAAGCTCAGACAAAGCCTCTGCTTGTTTCAGGAGGTTTTTCCCTTAGCAGGAGCCATGGATTGGGTTCACTGCAGCATGTCAGAGCCACCTCATCTGCTTTAAATTAGTCTGTATTCACCTTAGGAAAGGAGCAGGGAGTGCAGGTACTTAAGGGTTTCTTCTTACTGCCCTGATGATCTTGGATTACAAAAGCCCCTTGCGAGCTGGCACACTCTGCTCAGCCACGTTGGCTTTAGGCACAACTCAGCATCCATAAGTGCATCCCATAGGAGCCAGGAAGGGGATCTGTGGCTGACCACAGCACCTGCCTGTGGGCAAGGTGTTGGCAGCCCCCAAAGCCCCAAGCGCTGGATTTCAGCCAGACCCATTAAGAAATACAACAGCAACACTTTCTAAAAGCTGCAATAGCTGATAAGGTTTGTTCTGCATGTATAAAAGACTCATGTAACAGCAAGAGTTATCCCTTCACGATTTTACCTTAAAACCAGAGGACATTCATTTGGCTCTCCACTGTCAGCTATTAATAATATATCAATAAGTACCAGCCAGCGGCTCCATACAGGGATGTAACAGGCACATGCAGGAGCTGTAATTCTCTCTCAAATCAGGTATCAAAATCTTAAATGGTTACTGGAGTTTCAGCAAAGGAGAAAAGCAAAATCCTAAAGTTTACAAAAAGCAAACTGCAGAAACAGCCCTTTGTGTTGTCTCCAAAGTAATTTTCATACAGTGTCAGGGTGTAGGCAGCAAAGGGATGGGGAAATTATGAGAAAGCACCTCAGAACATAAAGCACGGGGGGTTTTTTTTAAGGCTGCTTGCATGAAAAAGCACATTTTTAACACTCCTTCTGTGGGGTTTAAAAATAACTAATCCAGTTGAAGCCTTCAGATGAGATGGGCTTCACAAGCATAAATGTGATTTGCAGCAATCTAGGACCTGTAGCATTTCTTTGCCTGTAAGTGCAGCAGCTCTTTATAATCCTGTCATGGACTGTCGTCAAACACCAACGAGAAAGTGCATTTTGCCAGCAGAACTGTGAGAGAGTTTGATGGGATATGATCCCAGATCATCCTGCAGTCAGGCTACAGCCAAGGAATAGCTTGTGCTGGTGCTGGACCCCTTGTTGGCCCATTGCATTTTTTTTTTGCAGGAGCTCTGATGCAGCTGAGGTAGCTGCATTCTGCCTCTACCATCCTCCTTGCAATTTCAGCCTTAAAAAGGAATTTTTCGTCTTCTAATGTGTAACATGGTGAGAGTGCATTCTGCTCCCAAAAGTGGCAAACGTTAGTGACAGAGAAATGATCCTCACCTCCCCTTAGGACATCATGTCTCACAAAATAGCACAGCCAGTATCAGCGTGTTGACATTAAAAAGTACAGAGGCACTGAGACAAAAAGAAACACTAAAACAGACTGCAGAGCAGGGATTCTGCATTGCACAACTCTCTAATGTATGTTTGATACCAGCATATAAGTCTGCTTCTGCAACCAGACTTGTCTATCTCACATTGGCCTCTTTAGCCACCAGTGTGCTTGTAGCAAATGTGGGTAGAGTCCTTCCCAAATCTTCATTTGCAAAGCCTAGCCATGATGATGACAAGTCTGCTTCAAGACTGGAATGATCTTACTTCAATTTGGTCCAAGTCACTCTATAAGTGAGGTAAGGAAAATCAAATCCAGGCAATTCAAACTGCAAATGCACATCAACACACAGGTCTCAGCCAACTGAACAAACCCCAGCAAGATTCATACATGTGGTCCACTTGGATTTATTCTCTTTACGGGCTCCCTGTCTTGCCTCCCAAAAGAACAAAATTAATTCCAGATATTGGCTTGCTCAGGCATACCAAAACATTTACAAATGTATATGGCAATATACATATGTCAGCCCACACGGTGAGCTGAGTCAGAGCTACTGCCAGCGCTTCTGCCTGATCTTCCCAGGTTCCCAGGTACTGCCCTTCGCTCTGCTCCCTGAGCCCACGCCTGGAATTGCCGGGAGAGCCGAGGCAGCTCCGGAGCAGCTCTTTGCTGCGTCACGCCTGAGGAATTCACCGCAGCGATCTTCCCAGGTGAGGGAATAGGTAAAGCTTCCTGGGAAGCCTCTCAGCGCTGCATTTTTAAAGCTATTTCCTGACATCTCACCAGAAACACAAATCCCACTCAGTTTTCACTGCTAGTTATGTTCGTGTTTCCATGCTCTCCTCGCAGACTCTCGCAGGAAAGGCTTCTCTCACACCTGCTAAAGTCAGAGATTGCTGCCTGCTCCCCCAGTGACAAGTACAGCAGATCTCCAGCCTTGAGCAATGCCAGGCAGCCTGACCCATCCTGCTCCCCTGTCCTGTGACCAGCCAAAACTGAATCAAGGAGAGGGGATGCAAGGGCTGCAGTTGGACCTCCCCAGAGGCAGAAGTTCCACTGATGCCTCCTTGCAAGGGTCTGTTCCTGCAGCCCCAGCACTAATAGATCCTGGCACAGGGCTGGGGCTAAGCATAGCCATATAATCAGTGAAATCCTAAACATTTTTGTTCCTGTACATTTTCTTTATGGAAAAGCATCCCAGTCAGTGGAGCTTTGCATTTTGAAATCAAAACCTCATGTCTTTCTCGACTGGGGATGTGAAATGGGGACTTGAGAGTTGAAAGATGTGCCAAATTATGGGAAGCTGCAGGGGCTCAGAATTCCTGTCTCCGAGGATACCGACTGTTACAGCCTTGACCTTTTCTGCAAATACCATCCTCCCTTATAAAAATGAGGCTTGGAGTTTACTTAGAAATTCTTTTCAAGTAAGAAGTCATCTTTGGAGAGCCTGCTATGAGGTTCTCCATTTACATGGGGATGTAGGGGGGGTTTTAAGGGTATTCTGACACTGCTGGAAGGCAGTGTCCTGGGGCAGTGCCACTGGAACCAGTGTTCTGGATATGCTGGTGGGCGTGTCAGTGGCTCTGGTGACACCACAGAGATCAGCCCTGACCTGCAGTTCTGCAAGAGGAACCTCAACAGGGTCGAAACCAAGCCTGGATTTGCTTTCACAGAGCAAGAACAAAATGCCCCTGTGACACAGACAGCACCAGCTTCCCCAGTGTCTTTGGAAACAGCAGCTTATGGAAGAGGTAAAACCAGGCTGCATTTTAACACAGCACAGGATCAGCCCTCTGCTATCTAAGTCATAATGGCACGTAATCCCCTCTCTAAACCCCACTTCCATTTCTCAAATTTTCTGCAGTTTGTATCTGCTTTTCTCTATCCCACAGTCGCACCAGGCTACATTTGTCACCCATGAATAATCCCACTTACATTGCAGAGTCTCTTCCTACCCTGGAGAAAAATGCAGTGGGAGGTGTGGGGAAGCTCAGTGAAAGCTGACAGCCAGGAGAGACTGGGAAAGGCCTACAGAGCTCCTTATTTAGATGTCCTATTTTAAGATAAAATGAAGAGGAACTATGCACATTCAGCATTTTGTTAAACTGACATGAAACCAAGTCACTACAAAATCAGTTTGCAGAGGGATGCAGTGCACATGCTTGAAGCCTTCTGTAAAATATTATTATTATTTATGATTGCAGCAGCTCCTGGCTGTCAGCAAGTCCCAACCTTGGGGCTACTGATCCATGTATCACAGGAGAGAATCCTGGCCAAGAAGAGTTTCCATTGGTAGAAGGAAACATTGCCCTTTGTCTCCCCATGCAGAACACGAAATAGTGCCTACCTGGGCACTCAGCATTAACTCACTGCACAAGATGCCTTGGAACAGCAATGACAGGAATTACGTGGTTTTTGCTCACATCTACCACCTACACTTGCTGGCCCAAAAGCTGACACTGAGGATGAGTCTGCAGAAGCCCATTAAAAACATTTTAGCCTGTACAGAAAGAGGGAGTTACAGGAGCCAGGATACCTTGAAGGGGACAGAGAATGCCAAGGGAAGCTGAAACTGCTCTTCACCAAGAAAGGGCTCCTGAGGGTCCCAGCAGCCCATGGCTGACTCTGCAGATTCCTGGAAGAGGAGATGTATTTTGTGGCTCTCTGCATTACATGGACTAGTGAAAGCTGGGCACAGCCAACGATCCAGGACTGGGGAATGAGTTTGGATAATAATTAAAGGTCCAATCTTGCATTCACCAAAGCCTCTGGTAAAACATCTTATTGATAATAGCAGGACAATCGGATTAGGCTTCTGCTGGAGCTGGGAATCACTGAAGCTTTCTTGACTCCATAGGTTTACCAGGGATAGTCTTGTCAAAATCAGAAAATAGATGAGGCTGAAAATAATCTGTTCTCAAACATCCCACATTCAGACATGCCTGATTTGAGGCACAGGGTTTTTTTACAGCACTCCCTAAGCACAGACCATTTGCAAACCATGAAAGGGCAGGCAATCCACAGTACCTTTCCACAAAATCCAGAACTGAATTGTGGCCATCCTACATATAATGGCCTCTGCCTTTCCTTCTGCTGGTCACATATCACAGTTTTAGTACAGCCTGGAAAAAAGGTCAGGCCCTTCAGAGGAGAAAACACCAGCTATACCTCCCCAGTGGAAACGGCAGCAGGATGATACCATTTATTTGGGAAAATACAGCAATTATTCTGAGCAATAGCAGAGATGACAAAAACTTGAAAGGGTGGATTAAAAAAGGAC